CACTCTAAATAAAGATCTAGGCTCAGGGGTCAGAGGGTGCAGAGATGCTTTCACTCAGCAAGCCACCATATGATGGAGTGTCTTATTTAGGTCAGGCATTTCAGTGTTAGCCCTAGAAGTTTAGTAGCAAAGTACACAAAAAGCCCTGCTCCTCAAGGGTTACAATTCGATAGAACGAGAGAGAGAGATCAGAACACAAATTAAGTTCATACATTTGCGGGTGGCAAGTGTTCTTTAGTTTTCAGTAAAGCAGGAAGGGAATATTTGGAAACTGTATTTAAAATGACCTTCGGGCCAGGCATGTAGCTCAGTGGTAGAGTGCTTGCCTAGCATGAAGCCCTGGGTTCAATTCTTCAGTACCACATATACAGAAAAAGCTGGAAGTGGCGCTGTGGCTCAAGTGGTAGAGCGCTAGACTTGAGCTGAAGAGCTCAGGGACAGCATCCAGGCTCTGGGTTCAAGCCACAGGACTGGCTATAAAGACATAAATAAGGAAGACCTTATTTTCAAAAAAGGACCTTAAGCTGGGCACCAGTGGCTCATGCCTGTAATCCTAGCTATTCAAGAGGATGAAATATGAGGACTGTACTTCAAAGCCAACCTGGGCATGAGACTCTTATCTCCAATGAACCATCAGAAAACTGGAAGTGGTGCTATGGCTTAAAGTGGTGGAGTACTAGCCTTGAGCAGAAAAGCTCAGGGACAGTGCTCAGGCCCTGAGTTCAAGACCCACAACTGACACAGAGAGAGAGAGAGAGGAGAGAGAGAGAGAGAGACATTGAGCCAGGTGGCAGTGACTCAGGAGGCTCAGATCTGAGGATCGAGGATCAAGGTTCAAAGACAGCCTGGAAAGATAAACCATAGAGACTCTTTAATTAACCAGCAAAAACTGGATATGGAGGTGTGGCTTAACTAGTACAGCACTAGCCTTGTGTGGGAAAGCTAAGAGTGCTAGGCCCCGAGGTTAAGACCCACGACCAGCACAAAATCAAAACAGACATAAAACATGTTTGAACAAAGACTTAAATGGTGCCAGAGGGGGGGACAAATTCTGTTTCTGCTCAAGCACCGAACCTGGGATTTTCTTTTTCTGTGTGTGTGTGTGTTTGTGTGTGTGCCTGTACTGAACTCAGGGCTTTATGCTTTTTTTTTTTTGCAGAAGACTGGTACTCTACTACTATGGCCACAGCTCCACTACCAGCTTTTTGCTGGTAATTGGAGACAAGCGTCTCAAGGACTTTCCCTTCTTGGCTGACTTTGGAATTGTTCTGACTGGTTGGGATTACAAGCAGGAGCCACCAGTGCCAGACTATAGCACACTTTCTTTCTTCCTTTTTCTTTTCCTTCCTTCTTCCTTTCTTAACCAACTTCCTTCCTTTCTTCCTTCCTCTTCCCCCCTCCCCCCCCTTCACTCTTTGTCTTTCTTCCAGTTCTGGGGCTTGAAGTCAGGGCCTGGGCACGGTCCCTGAGTTTCTTTTGCTCAAGGCTAGCACTCTACCACTTGAGCCACAGCACCATTTCTGGCTTTTTCTGAGCAGTTTATTGGATAGAAGAGTCTCACGAACTTTCCTGTCTGGGCTGGCTTTGAACCTTGATCCTCAGGTCTCAGCCTCCTGAGTAGCTAGGATGATAGGCGTGAGCTACCAGCTAGCATTTTCAAACAACACCAGGGACCAGTGTGCTTATCCGAAAGCCTGGGAGGGAGAAACAGCTCAAAGGCAGAGGAAGGGAGGACCATACATTCTAAGACGTTATGCAGGATTTTGAGAAGGACTTTGCTTTTATGTTAAGTGGAGTGGTGGCTATGGAGTTGTTCAGAACAGCTATACCAATTGAGTCACAGCTCCCCTTCTGGCTAATTTGTGGTGGTTCATTGGAGATCAGAGTCTCATGGATTTTCTTGCCCAAGCTGGCTTTGAAATGCAACCTTTAGATTTCTGTCTCTTGAATAGCTAGGATTACAGGCACGAGCCACACCAGCACCTGGCTAATTTTTTGTTGTTGTTGTTGGTCATGGGTCTTGAACTCTGGTCCTGGGTGCTCTTCAGCTTAAGGCTGGTGGCTCTACCACTTGAGCCACAGTGCCACTTCCAGTTTTCTGAGTGGTTTACTGGAGGTAAGAGTCTCACAGACTTTCTTGCCCAGGCTGGCTTTGAACCGAGATCCTCAGATCTCAGCCTCCTGAGTAGCTGGGATGACAGGCGTGAGCCACCAGTGCCCGGCTTTGGCTCAATTTTTTAACCTCTAGATTACTTCATCTGTAAAATCATGTTAAAAAAATATTACTCTTAACTCCTCAGGCTGTTATGATGATTAAATGACATGTGGGCAGCACTTAGCAAATACTTGGCATCAAGCAGGCCAATTCCTGTCTCTTCCTTGTCTGTCATCTGTCTCTTCTGCCTCCTACCTGGTGCCAGGAGAGACAGGGTGGCAGGGAGAAGGCTGGATTGTGAAGGTGTGAGAAGTTTCATAAGGCTTTCCTTAGCTGACTGCCGTC